ACAAGCCGCATTATTTACTACCGTACAGAGGACCCACGTAGGGTTACAAGAAAGGGAAAAGAAAAACAAGTTGCAGGCTTGCAGCATAATTCCAATTTTGCACTATAAATTAAGAAGCTTCACAGCCATTTGAAAAGGAAACACTCTCTTCTATTATACAGCAAACTAAAGACAGGAAAAATCATGCCTTGCTTTAATGTTTCAACTAACGTGAATCTTGATGAAGTCGACACTGCTCTTTTCTTCTCTGAAGCAACCAAAGCTATTGCTTCTATCATCGGTAAACCCGAGAACGTAAGTATTCTCTACCTCCCTCTATACGAGCAAGTTAGGATCGACTATATGAATTTTTTCTCAATATTTTCATATCCATATGATTGCTATATATGATTATTTCTTCCTATTTTGTCTAGCTATTTTTCTTTTCTTTCAGCAAGAGTTTTTCATTCTACTTTCTTCTTTCTTAAAGAGGAGTATAAGATTCGTGTAAAGGTGAGGTTTGTAAACAGCTCATGTTTTAACAACTCTTATATACTCCTTCCGTTTCATTTTATATTGGCGGCGTTTGCTTTAGGCTGGACTTTACTAAGAAAAAAAAAAAGTAGACACATATAGTGGCGGAGCCAGAAATTTTAGTAAGGGGTATCAAAATATAAAAATATAAAACACAAAGAAATAAGGGAAGTCAACTTGTAGTATTTATGCATTTTTAAAATAAACATTTTCCTAACTAAACAGTATAATTTTTCGGAAAAGATAGCTTCCCCGCTTTTGGACACATATCAGAACTACTTTTAAAACTTGTGATTTCAAAACCTGACATGGATGATTATATTCCCAAGCGATTGATAATAATATATAGGAGATGTCTATGTTACCATTTTAAAGTTGTAATTAATTAGAAAACTAGCAGGGCCCTTATTGTTAGTCTGTCGTCAAATGATTTGTGTATATATTATCAAGTTGTAGAGATGATTGGAGTACGTTGTTTAAAATGGTTCACACTTTTCTTATCCAAAACAAATGTCCTGAGTTGGTGAAACCTCTTAGTCTGGAGTTTGTGTTTAGCTGGAAAAGTCTAGGGGCAAGTGCACATATAATCATTCTCAATTCAGAAATTACCTAATATTTTATTTTAACTTGAAATTTTAAATTAAAAATCTTAGCTTCAGGATAATTCAGGATATTTTTATTCTGAATATCTGAATTGAAAAATTGAAACTAAAAACATACGCACTGACTAATACTTAAATATCAGTACTTTAAAATGGCTACGTGGTGTCATTCTAAAAAAGAGTCATGAGTGCAACTTTTGGACACCATATATCCTTGACCAAAATGAATGGCCACCAAGGATTTGAGGTTATTTGAGATCCCTAGCAACTATGAGCACTTGAGACATTTTTTGCAAAGTTCTGAAAAATTAAACGTGTCAATTGTTATTGGCAAAGTGACAACAAAAAACTTTCTTGACCATCTACTCCCACAGTTCCAATTTATGTGAATCTGTTTGGCTGAGCATGGAGTTTAAGAAAATATGAAGAGTTTTGGAATTTGTGATCTTAAATAAGTCAATAAGGGCCCAGAGTATTTATGTGGTTATAAAAGCTTCTCATTAAGGGTAAAATTATAAGTTTAAGCTAAATTGTTACCAAATTTAGAAAATGGTCATTCTTTTTTAAACGGACCAAAAGGGAAATAGATTCATGTAAAGTGGAACAGAGAGAATATTATTTTTTCCACCAGTCGTGTCTGTCAATGTCTATTGGGTATATATTTGAAGTTACAGTTGAAAAAGATTACTAATTGCTTATGTTGGGTATGACCTTCACTTGAAAATAAGTTTGTATAAGTTGAAAATCCGTGAGTAGAAACAATTATTGCACTTGAAATATACTACTCAAACTATTAATTCAACTTAAAATTCTATTTTTGAATTATACCCAGCAATATTGTTATCTAAACAGCGACTTGCTATTTTTTTTTATATAATATTATGCATGTCCAAATGACGTAATTTGATGTGGAATCATGTGCGTGATAGACAGTATGATAAAGACTATACGCATGCAAGTAAATGCCTTTGTCAGCATAAACCTGTCGTGTCAAAAGGCTAATGCACGTCAAAAAAAAAATGCGAAGGATATATTGAGGTGAGGGTGAAATTTCCTCTCTACCTAGGTAGAAGTATGATTTGCGTATATATTAATCTCACTTATGAAATTACAGAGAGTTTGTTAGTTCTTGCATGGGCGGAGGATACTACGACATGCGTCTTATTATTATTAATTGTTATGTTACTATTATTATGAAGCAACATAAAATTGACACTTTTTTCCTGCGCCAAGAACTATTTATATGCGATAGCCGAAAAGTATATAAAATTGGTATAGTTTTTGTGTATATATATATATAGTTGTGGTTGTTACAAGTACTTGAAAATTTGCCACACATTGGTGGTCCATCACCAGCTATATTTTGGTTCCCTAACGAAAGTCTATTACATACCGTAATGTCTAATAACTTTTTGGAGAGATAAACTTCAATTATTATTTTTAAAGCGGCTATATAATATCATTTTTCCTTTTCTTTATGGTTTCAAGATGTTTCCCAATATTAGACTTTTAACCAACAAAACCAAAAAAAGAAAACAAGCACTTAGTATATTTCGTGTTTTGACTTTTACATGTATGTGTTTTCACAGTTCGTAATGGTTGTACTGAAAGGATCAGTGAACATATCATTTGGAGGGAACAAGGAACCAGCTGCATTTGCTGAAATTGTATCAATGGGTGGCATTAACTCGGATGTCAAGAGAAATCTTATTGCTACTCTCGGCACCATTTTGCAGAATAATTTCTCCATTCCCAGAACTCGATTCTTTCTCAAGGTCTATGATACAACAATGGCTTCCAAATTCTCCAAACTCTAATTTTCTCAAACCAATATCATTGTCATTTTCATTCTCCTTTTTGTTTGCAAAGCAATGAAAGCATGATATAGTGATTTTATATAAGGGCAATTCACCCTTCCCAGTTCCCATTGCTTTTAAAGTTTTGGATTTAGTTCCTCCCGACAATGTTGAGGTTTCTTGGTGGTGATTAGGGGTGGCAAACGGAGAGTCAGGTCGAATATGGACGTGTCGAAAATGGGTATGCAAATGGATAAATTATCCGACCCAACCCATATTTAATACGAATAGAAAATAAATTAACCGGCGGACATATCATCCATGGCTTCTTGAATACGATCACTTTTGCGAGAACTCCTAGTCTTCCAAACTCGAGGAACCCCCAATTTGACTTTTTACAAAAATATACAGGTTAAACTCATAACTCATTAGTTATCCAATTTCTAAGTGAATAATATTTGACCCATTTTTTAAAAATGCATTATGTAACCCATTTTTTTAGTGGATAGTACAGATGGATAACTGTTTTTTAAATCCATTTTGCCACATCTAACCGGTGATTTTAGCAAAAAAATTTAGAAGAATTAACCTGAATAGCTTTTCACCCAACTGCTTAAACTAAAAATAACCGAGAATAATCCATGTATAATCTATGTATATAGATGCTAGGAAAAGTAAATAGTGAATTTGATGACTATTTGTGTAAACATCCCAGAAATGTAAGTGCAGGAAAAGACACAAAACATTGAATATCAACCCTCCAAAAACAAAATGGTTTTCCCTTGGCAAGAGCATAATGTTGTGAAAGGAACTAGAGATTTTCCTAAGAGTGAATTTGTGCAAAAGATGGCTAACAACGCTATTACTTAACTGTACTATCAGAGTTCTACAGGAATTGCCATTTCTGGTGTCGATCCAACAGACACAACTCTGCTACTTCCCAACGTTAAGTGCTTTAGGCTTCCAAAAACATTTAGTAACCCTATTCACAGTTGTAAAATGCAAATATTAAACAAAGGATGCCAACAAAGATGCAGCTTCTGTACTTCGAAAACAGAACTCAGCCTTCCAATACTATAGCTGAGCAGAAACACCTTTTCCCTATTCCCCTCAAGTTGGGTGTTTGCCAACCTTGACCCTCCTTATAACATTCGATCTGCAATCATGATCGGAGAGTTAGCTAGCAGGAGCAACACATGTATATAATGAAAACTTAGCATGACGAAAAACAATTAAATAAAAGTTTAAATTATACACACTATTTGTGTAAGGAATTTTTACATCATCATGTCACTTTTACCTATAGTAGCAGGTAACCTATCTAATTTTCAAAATTACAAATCGCACATTTTAAAGAGGTTGATAGAGATAAATATTACTTATACTAACGGCGTATAAACTTATTAAATAATGATACGCACCACGTCTACAACTTCCTCACCAGGTTGAATCCCTCCAATCACATAAATGGACTCCTGTAGAACAACAGCTGCTGAATACCCTCTCGAGTGCTTCATTGGCTCCCCAACCATCCATGTTTCAAGACGGGGATCATATATCTCAGTGCTAGACACCATTGTAGACCCATCGTACCCACCAAGTGCGTATCTGCATAGCAGTTATGAAGCTAAAAGTAAATAACAAGATGATATTCATCCCAAATGGGAAATGCTACAACATAAGGCATAGCACCTGGTCCCTGCTCCCAAACCCCATCCCCAAACCAGAATAAAGAGGGTGACTACAGGAGAATGCACCTCCTACTCCTTTTGGTGGCATTATAATATTAGATACGCAATCAAAAAGCACGAAAATGATAACTTACAACTTCCCGTCCAACACAGCCAATGCATGGCATCCTCTGCTCGTACTCATATTCTTAATTTTTGTCCAGGAATGTTCTCTGGGATCAAATCTTTCAGCAGTCCTGTGGTAACATTTGATCAGAAAGGAGATAAGAGAAGAGAGCAGAAAATTGTAACAAAAAAATAAATGCCTTTACACATGCACTTTTGCAGAATTCCTTTGACTAAACTCGCGTAATCAGCATTACGAGACCAACAGATTGGAAAACCAAGTCTCCTCCTTGGGGAAGATATTAACAATTATAGAAGTGATTGGAGACATGAGGTACAATGTCAAGTATCATTCAAACATACAGTTCAAAGAAGGCGCCAGAATAAGAAAAAAGGCAATTTCATAACTTACACCAGGTAATTGCTTCCATCATATCCACCAACAGCATATAACGCACCATTGAGTTCTGCTGCAGCAAGAGAAAATCGCTGCAAATACACACGCATGGAAGATAAAGTCATGCTTCTGCAAGACAGATATAACAGTAAAAGCAAGTAAATGGAAACATATATGAGAAATTACTTAAGAACAATAATGCAAAACAAGATAAGTGAAGGTCCTGATGTTTAAACAAGGACAAGGCAAGGAAACAGCATAATGTCTGAGTTACCGAGCACTGACAAGAATTCACTTGCTATTGGATTAAAATCATTGCTAATCAACCTGCATAACTTCAGTTTGCAATTTAAGTTATCCTTCCTCTCCACATTTTTAGGTTTTCTCACTATTAATTAACTATAATAAGAGGCTGATAAGGCTTGACCAAGAGGCAACACATAAAGATTTCAATAAGAAAAAATGAAGCTCAAGGACAAGATGATCCCATATTGACTTGCCACAACTTTTAAGAGTGACAATAAATTCCAGAGCAATACACATCAACGTGCTAGTTGGAAATTTGACTTTAACCGAAAGCTTTCTCATCATTTCAAATTCGTCCATCTAAGCAGACAAGTTTCATCTTTTCATATATAGTTTGTTGTTTCCGAAACAAATAATTACTGGTACATGCAAATAAAAGGAGCAATGAAGTTAACCTTCTGCAACATGGATCTTGTAGAAATCCAACGCTCTACTAGAGGATCATACATCTCAACCTCTGAAAAGCAGTCAATCCCATTGCTACCGCCAATTGCAAAAATTTTGTCCTTCAAAGTAGCACCAGCTAAACTACCCTTTTTCTTATTCAAGGAAGGATGTAGGGTCCACTCGTTATCTGCTGGATTATATGATTCAACTGTACAAAAGCGGCATAGCATCAGCATTAGCAACTTAAGATGCTAGAGAAAGTGGCACATGGGAGCACTGAGTGCTGGGGGCTAAAAACTATAAGATGTACCTGTGTCGTACCACAAGCTTCCAGTTCCGCCACCAAATACATAAAGCTCTCCACACAGTTTTGCAGCTGAGGCATATGATCGAACTGAACTCATTGGCTTAAGAGACTTTAACACATCATTTGAAAGTGAGTATGACTCCAAGGTAGATAACCATGATACCCCATCATATCCTCCGGCTAGGAAGATTGACTCAGGATCCAGCAGTACTTGATCAACTGGCTCAAACACTGTTTCATCAGCCAATTGACATGATGGAATTGAGGACTCAGGCATGAAATATTTATATTTTAACTGCTTAATCTCTTCTCTTGCATCGGCCTGAAATGCAAGGCAGATAACAGTCATCAGGAGTGCATTTCTAAAATGCACATCATGCATACAAGTGGTAAGTTCTTATGTACCACAGAGGACAAGAATACAAAATTTCATCGTCAAAACGTGTAGATACAGTACAACATGCACAATAAACACTATGAAGTGGGAAAAATACTAGAATTCCAGAGGCGGGCAAAAGGATTTGTTCACCCTTAGAACATCTAGATACAGCAGAATGCACAATAAGCAACAAGAGAAGAAAGTACTAAATTCCCTGACACAGCCACAAGGTTTTTGAAATACCAGTATTTCTTCTTCTTCTTCTTTTCTGATAAAGGAAACACAAGGTTTGTCTCATGTTTGACGCTAGATAATAACACTGGATCCACTTCTCAGTTTTCGTGAATACAAATACCATTTTCCCTTTGCATCCTGCAGCGCACCAAGAACCTTATTTCATTCCTTTTGGTTCATAATGTAACCTTAATTACACCATGACATCCGATTCCAAATTGGTGTAATGATCAGATCCCCATTTCCCCCAAGTTATAATGTTCCAAGTCTCTTACAGCCTAAAGCTGATAATTTCTCCTCTTCGACAACAACAACATACCTAGTGTAATCCCACACGTGGTTCTCCTCTAAATATTCAATTTCCAGTATCTTCTTCTCTCAACAATTGAAGCCCGACTTAAAGAGTTTTAAAGTAAACTAACCAGTTCTATAATTACTACTCATGTTACTTTTTGTCCTTCAGTATGTTCATAGCACTAATAAAACCCATGAATCAGCCTATTAAAGCTCCACCACTATACCACCTAAAAACATTACTGCGATTATGTAAGGTATATCAACCATTCTCCTAGAAGACTGAGCCTATATCTGAATTGTTTGCACTTAGGCACCAGAATCTCATCTAATTTCACCCGACCTACATTGTTCTTACAGGGGGCTAAATTTGAAGTGCATATATTCTATCTCACTTCTACTTATCATTAAGCCTTTACTTCCAGAGTTCTATCTTTTGGTCGCTAATTTAGTCAATTAACATAAATATCATTTGAAAACAGAGTAACTTTCTCATACGAGTTACACAAAAAGATAATTTTCTGGTAACAATATCCCTATCATCTTCTTTCAGAAATTAGGCTAGCTTCTCTAGATACATACATCCCAATGAATCCTGAAGACCATTGGAAGTTATTGCTTGTTCTGATTGTTTCATTTACTTCGAAAGAGGAGACAAATGTCAAAATCCTTCTGATTCTGAAACTCCTTCATTTTGTTTGAAAGATGACAGACTGATGACTTTTCACAGTCAAAAGTGGTAATACAAATCCTTGGGTTGCATATGGATTCCAGTGTTATATGAAAATGTGTTTTCTTACTTATGCCAACACGCCTCCACCTACACCACTCCCCCTCCCCCAACACACACAAAAAAATAAAAAATACCAAACGGAAAAGGAAAAAAAGGATAGGAAAAGATCAGATCTCTGTATTCACCCATTGTTCCAAGATATTTAACATAGTGCATGTCTTCTGCGGCCATATTCTCCAATAGAGACAAACCAAGAAGGAATGCAATTTCAGCACAGAATAGATATGGTACTATAGCTCTGAGATTGCG